GTATCTCCAACCCTCTTTCTGGGCCCAGGAGAGATGCTGCCCACCCTGTGAGAAATGTGGACCAGCCCCAGGGGTTGGGGGAGGTCGGTGATTTAGCCTCCACACTGTCCCACGTGACCTCAGAACCTCACACACACACACAGATAAACACCCAAGGACTGGTGTCTGAGCCCTACTAACAGGAAAATTAAGATGCTGAAAAAAAAATCAATTTTTCTCTTCAAAAATATATGAGCATGCATCTCTACATTAGTCGATGTAAAGAAAAATCTAGAACATTAATCCAATTATTGAAGTCCTTGTCTTGGGAAGTGATGACAGAGACACTCTCCTTGATCAAACTTTAGTCAGACTTCTCTGAGCCCGACTAGGCCCTGTGCTTGGGCATGTCCTTCAAGAGCCCATTTTTAGAGCGAATCTTGTCAAGTACGTTAGGCCAGCTCCCCCACCCTTAACACCTGATCACCCTTCTATCTGGTCAGGGTCCACATCCTGCACTGGTGCCCAGCTGATGTCTGAGCCCCAAGATCTGCCTCAGTCAGATCCCTCCTTACCCTCGTCCTGATGTTTCCTCTTACTAATTTTCCATCCACTGACCACCACTCCCTCTGCTCCTTGGCTATAAACTCCCACTTTCCGTTGTCTATTCCTAATTGAACCCAATTTCTTTCCCCTAGAGCAAACCCTCATTGCAGTGGTCCCTATACCTATAGCAACAGCCCTTAATAAAGTCAGCCTTACTGTCTCTTTATTATTGTTAATCCTCACCTGAGGGTATTTTTTCCATTGATTTTTAGAGAGAGTAGAAAGGAGGGAGGGAGGGAGGGAGGGAGAAAGGAAGGGAGGAAGGGAGGGAGAAAGGACAGGGAGGGTGTATAGGTAAGAAGGGACAAAAAAGAAGGAAAGGATAAAAGTAGGAAAGGACCTCAGAGAGAGAGAGAGAGAGAGAGAGAGAGAGAGAGAGAGAGAGAAACATCAATGTGAGAGAGACACATCGATTGGTTGCCTCTCGAATGTGCTCCCACCAGGGCCGGGGATCAATCTTGCAACCCAGGTATGTGCCCTTGACTGGGAATCGAACCCACAACCCTTCAGTGGACAGGTCAATGTTCTAACCACTGACCACACCAGCCAGGGCTCAGCCTTACTGTCCTAACAAGTTTCATGGATAATTATTTCTTTAAGAGCAGCAATATCTATGATTTTCAATTCCTAATTTATTTATCCTTATAATGCTAATGTTTGCATTTTTCACATAGATCAGTGTTACTATTTTTTAAAACAGCTTTCTTGAGGTATAATAAACATGCCATAAAATATGCCTCTGCACAATTCAGTAAGTTTTAGTACTTTTACAGAGTTGTGCAACCATCACCACAATCCAGTTTTAGGACAATTTCCATCTCCCCTAAAAGTTCCCTGCAAGCAACCTTCCTTCCCACCTCCACCTCCAGCCACCCTGACCTGCTGTCTGAATAAATTAGCCTTTTCTGGAAACTTCCGCTTATCTATCAGAAATGTATTCTAAGACACCCCCCGCCCCCCATGTGGATGCCCTAGACTGCAGATAGCACTGAAGCCTACATATCCTGTTTTTTCCTATACATACTTCTTATGATAAAGTTTAATTTACAAATTAGGCACAGTAAGAGATTAACAACAATAATTAATAATAGAACATTATAACAACATACTGTAATAAGTTATGTGAATGTGGTCTCTCTCTTCTGATAACCAGTCTGTCCACCCAGATGGGTCCTAACTGACTAAGGGTTGGGGAGCATCTATAGCATGGAGCAGGGGTCGTCAAACTACGGCCCGCGGGCCACATGCAAATACAAATATTGTATTTGTTCCCGTTTGTTTTTTTACTTCAAAATAAGATATGTGCAGTGTGCATAGGAATTTGTTCATAGTTTTTTTTAAAACTATAGTCCGGCCCTCCAACGGTCTGAGGGACAGTGAACTGGCCCCCTGTTTAAAAAGTTTGAGGACCCCTGCCATGGAGACACTGGACAAAGGGATGACCCGTGTCCCATGTCCTGGGTGGGACTGCGCAGGACGGACGGCACAAGATACCATCACACCACTCAGAACTGTGCACAGTTTAAAACTTACGTTTATTTCAAGAATTTTCCATTTAATACATTTGGGCAACAGTTGATCATGGATGGCTGGAACTGCAGAAAGTCAAAACAAAGATAAAGGGGGAGGACTGTAAATGGAATAGAATATGTGGCCTTCTGTGTCTGGCTTCTCTCAGTTTTTGAGGTTTATCCATGTTGCAGTATGTATCAGTAGTTTGCCCCTTTAACTCAGGGGTGGGAAATGCCTGGCTCGAGCGATGTATGAGGCCTGTGAAATCATTTGGCCTGGCCTTGCCAAGGCATTAGGGGTGAGTGAGTTAATTAAATGTCTGACCAAATTTAGCTGGCTACATTTTTGTTGTTGTTGGTTAATCCTCACCTGAGGATATTTTTTCCATCTTTTTTTTTTTAGAGAGAGTGGAAGGGAAGGGGAGAGACAGAGAGAGAAACATTGATGTGAGAGAGATACATCTATTGGTTGCCTCTCACACGTGCCTGGACCAGGGCGGGATCAAGCCTACCACCGAGATACTTGCCCTTGGAACCCGGGACCCTTCAGTCTGCTTTAATGGAGCCCAGGACCCTTCAGTCTGCTTTAATCACTGAACAAACCAGCCAGGGTTAGCAGGCTAATTTTTAAGTTGATAATTTTGTAGGAACTGCAAATGATGTTATAAATATCGAAGTGGCCCTTGGCAGAAAAAAGGTTCCCCACCCTGTTAACTGTTGGGTAATTTGTTGTACAGTGTACCACATTTTGTTTATCCATTTGTCAGTTGATGGATACGTGGTTGCTTACAGGTTTGGGCTATTATGAATAAGGTGCTGTGAACATTCATACACAAGTCTATGTAGACACAGTGTTACTTTTATAATCAGAAATAAAGAAAAACAACAAAAGTAAAGGACCAAATGGATTTTCTGAAATGCATCTTTTACCAAAATGGGGGAGCTCTATGAGTGGGGATGAAGTTCTAAAATAAGGAGAGAAAGAAGTGGTCTCCTGAGCAGGCTTTCCCTGGCCTGGGCACCGCCCACCAGGAACAAGTAGGTACCACAGTTCCACTACTCTGGAAACTGCTCACATTCAGATGGTTCCTTCCAAGCCTTGGAACACACACGATGTCTCATCTGTCCCACTGCAGCTCTGCTATCAATCCCAACCCAAACATCAGTGCCCCTCTGTAAAGCCCTTCAGCTCAAAAGCATCAAGTCATGGAACCACCAATCGCCTGACTCTGCTGTGTTTAATAAAAGCTCACCAGGGAGGTTTGCTTTCTGAGAGGCTCTGGAGAGCGGCCCGAAGCACTGGTGTGGCGTCCTTGGCCAGGTTGTTCAGATTTAGCAATTCTAGTTTTTAGCCGGGGTCCTTTCCCAGTATGCAAAGGTCAAGTCACAGCTATGAATGGAAAGGGACCAGAAAAACCACCTAAGAGAGGATCTACTTCTGTAAGCAGGAAAGAGACATGGGGACAACACAGAGGCAAAGAGGCAGGAGGTGAACTGGCAATGCAAGATGGGGAGCCCTACTTCTAGAGAAGAGGCAGGAAACAGACTGACAAACAGCACTGGGGGACAATGTTTAATACAAGTCGACATACACGATTTGAAAGCACTTGGTGGTAATGAATATTGCTGATGACACTTATCTATATCGATGGCAGGCTCTCTAATGGAAGCTCTTATAAGAGTCTTATAGCAACCTGAGTCACTTTCCATGCATATACAGATCCAGGTGACCTCTTTGAACTGACATAGGCAGCCCTGCCTCCCTCTCTTTTTTTTTTAGTCCTCACTTGAAGATATGCTTATTGATATGAGAGAGAGAGAGAGAGAGAGAGAGAGAGAGAGAGAGAGAAATATCTATCAACTGGTTGCCTCTCACATGTGCTCTGATTGGGGATCAAACCCACAGCCTAGGTATGTGCCCTGACCAGAAATTGAGCCTGCAATGTTTTTGGTAAATGGGACAATTCTCCAATCAACTGAGACACCAGGCCGGGGCCCTGCCTCTCTTGTCCACATTCCACTGGTCATCCTACTGGCTCTTTGAGTCCTTCTCTGTTTCCCATTGCTTACTACCCATGGGGCCTATACTCTTGAGCTCCTTTCTCTCCTACATTTATTTCTTTGGAAGAGCCCACTCATTTTGGTTTAATCTATAATTTCTAAGTGTGTGACTCCATTCCTTAATTTTCATCTTCCCTATGCCAGCTACAGTAACAATAATAATAATGCTAGCAGGTACCTAGGATTTGACAATATTTAAGGAGCTTCCACTTGATCCTCACCAAGCATCAGTCCTGCGATGTGGTCAGGAAAGCTGATATTGATTCCTTTCTTTTATTTTTTTAAAGGAAATGTAGGTAGAATACATCAGTGATTGCTCAGTATCACATAGTCTTAAGGTGGTGGGACCAGGAGGGGTTACGGTCCCACGGTGGGAGCACACAGGTAAGTGACCATGTTTAAGGCAAATGCTATCCAATATGTTAAACTTGAACCAAAGCAGGAGCAGGAGCAACTTACAGGAGGTCTATAGAATTTGTTCAAACTATGGACCTAGGATTTTAACAACATATGAGCCTGTGAAGAGTTTTCTGGTTCATTTTTAAGTTTTCTAAATGCCTTATATATTCAATATTTGAAAAGGCACAGAGATCCTGAATTTGAGATGTAGATATAGTTGTAGGTAAAGAGCTTCTGTTAAAGGATGATTTACAAAAATATGCCATTAACGTAGTACTTATAACTAAGTTTATGGGTGGAATATCTGTCTATTTAGTCTTACGACCTTGTATAAAATCTTGCCCTAACCGCAATTAAAAGAGCAAATACTGTTTAATGGTGGACTATTGGTACTAGGTTAACATTTGCAAAAAACATATTTTTCAGAAAGGAACATGCTTAGAATTCAGTGTGAACCAATAAGTTAATTGCTGTGTTTATTCTGAAGCTTTTATTTTGGAGACCTAGATTGCAAAATGACATGTTTAATGTTAACAACAGGCATTAGAAATTAAGGGTTTTTTTTATTTCTACTATTTTAGAGTAAAATTGTAGGTAATGTTCCAAACCATGATCAAAAAATGCAGAGCAAACTTGTATGTATATAAACTGTACATAAAAACAAGGCACTATACATGTTGAGGAGATATTAAGGTAGAAAGGTGAACTTGCACAGATTCCATGCCAGGATGTGCACATTTTCTGTTTTAGCACCGGAAGCAGCACTCAGAAGAAGTAAGACCTAATGTAATGCTGAAGAAGACGTTTCTGAACACGGTGAAGATACGTAGGTGAAGATACGTATCGGCAGAAGCAACTCCATCTACTTTGACACCTCCCAAAAAATCTTAAAAGTGAATGAATGCATACTGCTTTGTTAAATACATATTTGATTTATATGGTGTTTATATAAATATATATATTTTAGACTCCATAAACTATCAAAATAACACTTTATAAAGAGAACTGCTTAAAACACATCGGCAACACTGAGCTGGAACAGGGGGCAGTGCTGTGGCTCTGCTGGGGAGCGCCGCTGAGCTGCACCGCAGATTTTATTAACATTACCTGCTGAATTGCGGAGAGAGTTCCGAAGAGTTCTCTTAAACATTTACAAAATACACAACTACAGGACTAGCGGTAGAGCTAATAACTTCAGGTTTTGAAATCTCTGATTAAAAAATATTTTTAAAAATGCCTGTCCAAAAAAATATCCATTTTCCTGGTCCAATGGTATTGAAAGTGACAACAGGTTCCACCAGCATCTCTCCACTCAGAACAGACCTTTGGCTTTCTTCAGGTTCACCTGCTTCCAGGCGGGCAGTGCACTGAATTCCTCTCTTGTCATGTCTAGTGCAAACTGGAAGAATTGAGAGAAATGCCCATGTGCTGAGGAAGAGGCCTCCCGTACCAGCCCAGCATGTGGTTTACCCACTGGCCTACCTGAAGGAACACTTACCTCAAAGTCCTCATCAGTGAGATAAATCTCCAGCTTTAGAGGGTCAACCCCCTCAGGTAGTGGCCTGGCCAGGAGATCAGCCAGGGGATAAATGGTTTTACAGAGCTTGGCTAACACGTCTTCCACAAGGGTGATCTGATTGGAAACTTCCGTATCCTAGAGAAGAGGAGGGGGAAGAGAAACTCTGTGTCCCATATCTCAACACGCTCTATCACATGCCTGCAGACACACAAGCCTGTCCGATCTGTGTGCCAGCCTGGACACCCTCCCTCAGGGAGAAACAGGGCTCTAAAGTGGAAAGAAATTGTTCAAAGCCCCCCAGTTCTACCAAAGGTCCAACAAATCCTGTCTCAGGGCTGCCTCAGAGAAAAGCTTAGGGAATTTCATTTGAGTGAATTATCACATAAGATTATTAAATTTGAAGTCTAAACACCAGAAGCATCCAAAAAATGATGCTTACTGAACAATATTTAAAAATAATTAGCCTTGAAAGGAATCGCACCCCCGCCCCCCCAACCCCCAGGCTCTGTTTCTTAATCCACAATAGAAAAAGAAGGGAAGAAAATGCATCTAGAATATGCTTCGGTTGAATCAGGATTTTTTAAAAAATAATACATTTATTTAAAAAATATTTTTATTGATTTCAGAGAAGGGTCAGGGAGGGAGAGAGAGAAATATCAATGATGAGCGAGAATCACTGATTGGCTGCCTCCTGCACGCCCCCTACCAGGGATTGGGCCCACAACTCAGCATGTGCCCTTGACCAAAATAGAACCTGGGACCCTTCAGTCCGCAGGCCGATGCTCTATCCACTGAGCCAAACCAGCTAGGGCAGGATTTTTTTTTTAAAACCACTGGCCAGCAGTGCAGCAGTATCTGGTATAGACTAGTGGTCAAGAGGCGGGTTTCAGAGACAGCCTGAGGCTAAGACCAGGGGCAAGCTGCTTCCTGTTTCTGTGCCTCAGCTCCTTCATCGGAAAAATGGGGATAATAATATGATTCATCTCAATAGACTGTTGTGGTCATTAAAGGAGAAATGAATGTAAAGTGCTTGGAGCAGTTCCTGCACAGACCAAGCTCTCAGTGAATGTTCATTATCATTACAACTTGCTGACGTGGGAAGCCAACTGCTCACTGGCCAAAAGCCTACAGCCTGCCCAAGACATTGCACAGTTCCCCACCAACACCAGTGACGGAGCATGAATACAAAGAATGGCCATGATTTATGGCCTTGAACTTAGACTGCAGCGACAGTGCTCCTATTCCCTAGAGCTTTGAAACTTGGTGGATCACATAGTTATCTTGAACAGAGCCTTCTCACTAACTATGTCAGACAGCAGGCTGCCTGAGCCCTCCCTGTGTAACGAAGTCCATTTGGCCACAGACAGGGTAGTATTGGCAGTGATGCCTGCACTATGAAAGGCTTCCTCCGTTGTTAAGCAGCAATGAACTTTTCTTGTTTAAATTTATTCAGACCTCCTATAAAATGCACTCATGCCATCTCCGCCCTTCCCGGAAAAACAGTTCTCCTACACAGAAAGAAAACCAAAACAGACCTACCAGCCTATTACCCACCAACCCAAAACACTATTGGAACTGCTGTTGCTAGCAATGTTAAAAACCTCAGAAATTAAGAAACTCAATATAGTTGCAGGAAGCTTCCTTTTTTCTGTGCAGATGGAAATCATAACATTCTGGTTCACAATATGTTTTGGCAATAGAGATTCTGATAAATGCTTCAGGTGCTAATGCCAGGTGGTCTCATAAAAGAATATTAATGAGATAGTGAGCAGTACCTTATCAGGAGTGACTCACAATACATTCATTCACTTAGTTATCTGCATATGTTAATGCATCTCAGAATTATTCTGTATCTCTTTTAATACAAGGTCAATGTCTGAAACACGAGCTTTGTTGTGCCTCATGCGGCCCTTTAGAAGCAACATATTTTTAGCTAACAGAGTGAAGAGATGTCAGCTTTTATTTGTGGATATTTTTAAAGTAATTAAATTCACCTTTGCTTTTCAGTTTTTTAATTTGAGTACTATGTGTAGAAAATTACCAAAATACTTTAATTGATTTCTCCTTAGGCTTTTCTTCTTCCTAAGCTAATTCTACACAGACTTGTTAACATGTCGTAAATGGAAAGACATGTTCTCACTTTGAAAATGCAATGGGATGCTTCTCCCCAAGGGAAAGTCCACCCACAGTCCCACCAGGCAGGGACCCACCCTCCCAGGGAAGGGGTGTGCTCACCAGAGTCCACCAGGCAGGGACCCACCCTCCCAGGGAAGGGGTGTGCTCACCAGAGTCCACCAGGCAGGGACCCACCCTCCCAGGGAAGGGGTGTGCTCACCATTTCTGTGATCTCAGCAATGTCCTCTCTGTGCTCCCAACTGGGAAACATATTAGTGAATGTCAGGGGCTCCAGACCCGCATGGATCAGGTAGGACTTGGGCGGCGGCTTCTTGATATTTTTTCCTGTGGTTACACAGAATGCCAGTGTCAGTTGACCCCGAGTGGGCACGGAGACCTTGTCTTTCTCTGACTTCCCTTGAAACCTTTTCTTATCTGTTTGGATCTCCTGACTTCATGCTTAAAGTCAAAGTTATGAGTATTTCATAACAACACTTGGAAGATGTTTACATAATGTTTGTGTTATGCATACAACTTTGCATAAAATTGCATGTACTCCATCTGACTCTATACTGTCTGAACATGACAAAATGTGTCTGGGTCCTTGGACGGGAGAAAGCCTCTCTCCGTGCTTCTGGGTGGGACTCTCTTCTTCCTGCACTCAGTGTAGTACTAATGCAGCATCAAGTTCAATGAGAATTAAACAGCTAATGACAGCATTTTATATGCCACTTTAGCTAAAACATTTGGTGGGAAGTTTATTAAGTTATTTGTTACTAAAGAGCTCTTCAAGAACAGAATCCATTGAATACTTAGTGACATTAAACTAATCAATAAAACCTTTAAAATTCAGGTAAAAAATTATTGACGTCTTCAATTTATATAAAAGTCCATAAATTTTACATGGACAGTATAATAAAAAACCATGAATTGACTATAGACCTTTCTTTTTAGCTATCACGCTATAAATAATAATGAATGGTAACAAGGTTGCCATTGGCTTTCCAGTCTGTGGGGGAGCTTTCTACTCCACGACAGTGCGATGCCGTGTGTGGAGAGTGTCATGATTGAGTGCAGAAGGGTTTTAACCAGTCCAGGGCGTTCCACAATGTAGGTGACCCTGATCAACACAGGGGGCTGGGGGTACAAACACCCCATGTGGATAACTTTTGACTCCCCCAAAACTTAGTTGCCCCTTAATATCCACAGGGTATTGGTGCCAGGATGCCCCACAGATCCCATAATCCATGGATGCTTCAGGCCCCTATTTTAAATAAAATGGTGTAGAACAATGCATGTAGTTGGCATCCTCAGATTTCCAACTATGGATCGAAAATACTTTTTGATCTGCAGTTAGTTAAATTCCTGGATATGAAAACTATGGATTTGGAGGGCCAACTGTATAATTATTGAAAAAAATCTGGGTATAACTGGACTTCGCAGCTCAAACCTTGTTGTTCAAGGGTCAACTGTACAGCCTCTAACCTCCAGGGCAACAAGTTAAATGGCTTATAATATAAAAAAGAAAAACGAAATCTCATTCGTGCTGGCAGTTGAGAATACATGAATCTGAAAATTAATAAGCCTCAAAAGTTAAAGGCAAAGAAAACTGGTTTTATCACTGTCTGCCAGGCTTCATCAAGGCTGGCTGGCACATGCAGAAAGGGAAGGCCTGGTCTGGGATGCTGACCAAGTGTGCAGAGAACCAGCTGGGCACTAGCTTCTGAACGATGCTGGTCACCATCCCCCAGGGGCACCTGGCTGGCCCCGGCCCCAGCCCCCTTCCCGCAGACGCTCACCTCTGCAGTACTGGAGCACGGTCTCCATGGCGCTCTTTCGATCCGAGGCCCAGCGAATGCGGGCGGAACCGGTGATCTTGTTCTCAATGGGCCACCAGCCTTGCCAGAGGTACACCTCATGGTGATTGTCCACAAGAAAAAGCGCTGTGAGGGCGAGGACAGACCAGACCCTCAGAAGCTCCTTCCAGGCCCTTCCCCAGCCTAGCAGGTGCTTCCCTCCAGGCTGCCTCTGTCAGGGGGAGAATCCCCTCGGCTGTACATCCAGGGGGAGGGGAAAGGGCCTCTAGGCAGAGAGGTGGCACTGATGGTGCAGGCGCTTTCCTTCCCTCTCCTCCTCTCTCCTCCCGTTCCTTCTCCCTTGGGTCCTCAACTGCAGACCCAACCAGTGGGCCTCTGGGAGTCCACAGGCTGCTAAGAGTGGAAGGGGTAATGCACATGCCACTCAAGGGGTGTTAGTACCATTTATCTCTTGAGAACATGAACACCTGGAGAGTATTTCATGCTTGCCCTGGGCCTGAGTTCAGCCTGTGTATGACTGCTTCGCAGGTGATGTACATTCATGGTTCTTTTAGAGAGGAATGAGTGCTAAAAATGGTGTTCCTCACTTTTTCTCTTCATCAAACCATCAGCTTGCTCTTACTCCACATGGCATAGGGCCCTCACTTGCTAGGTAAGTTAGCTCTGAGTCCGAGCATACGTTTCAGGATTCTGTAAAAACCATACACTTGAATAGCCAAGTGGAGATTAGTAACCCATCCTGAGCCAGAGGATGAAGGGGGTGGGGAGCAGCCTCTCTTTTTAAAAGATCCTTGCTAATATATCCCACAGTATGACGTGTATACCCATCAAGCTTTTAACATGGTGACCTGGGCTGCCAGTGGTTCCAGGCTCTTGTTATGGGAGAGGGGAGAAGCCATGAGGCAGGGGCGGCCGACCTTGGGCTGGACTGCAGGGAGGGCAGAGAGGTCTATAAACACAGCCCAGTCTGCGGTGACTGTGACTGTCCCAACCAGAATGAGAGCACAGAGGTCCTGCCTTGAGGTGGTGGTCGAGTAGAAACAAACCTCAGCTTGGGCGAGATCTATGGCTCTGCTGTGCAGCCTTGGTACGGCGGATACTGTTCTTTGCCTAATTCAGCAAATACTCCCAATTTCCTGCCCCTTGGCCACTTGCTTTCCCAGGCTCCCTTGCATCTGGGGTGGCTATGTGACAGAGCTCTAGCCAAAGGGATGTAGGCAGAAGTCTGCTGGGGGCTTCAGGGATAAAAGGGAGAGATGTGGACACGGGGCCCAATACTGCTGTACTCAACCTTTTCCAACAGATGTGTTTGGGCGAGTTAAGTAACCGAGTTTCTTATACATGTGGTGGATGCCACTTTTCTTTTGGGGTAGGTGTGAAGATTAAATGAGATGATATAAAAAAATGTTCTAGCAGAGTACTTGGCAAATAAAAACTGCCTAATAAGTGAAAAGGGGAAATGGAAAGGCTTTTTGGAAGGTGTATCTTCTGCTGCTCCCATGACCACTGCCCTCTGGGGGCCGTACCTGGCTGCGGTGCACTATACAGATCTTCCTGCAGGAAGGGCATGGAATTGACCACAGAGGGGGCTCGGGCAGGATACATGAATTCCGTGGCCAAGAAATCTCCAGAAGAACTGCTGAGGATGAACAGGCGGGGTGTGAAGTTAAAATTTCCAGGATCTTGGAAAGAAAAGAGAACAAAGCTAAAGACAAAATATGTACCAAAGTAAATTTCAGAGGGATTGGAGAATTCACGTAAAACACAAAATAATAACGGAATTAGTATAAAAATAGGTAGGATTTATCTGCACTTGGAGGTGGAGAGGCTGTTTTAATTATAATTGCAAAAGAAGTAATCAAAGGAGAAAAGATTTATGCACTGACAACATAAAAAAAAATATTGCATTGCAAAAATACCCCCAAACCAACAAAGAAAATGAAAAGGCAAGTAAAAATGGAAAATAAGGAAATTTAATATCTTTAGTATACCAAGGAATTTAGTGAAAAGATAAATATCTCAGTGAAAATGTGCAAAAAAGCACAAATAAAACATTCATCAAAGTAGAAATACAAATGGCTGAATAATTCATATAGAAATTGTTTAACAGTACTCCTAATTTACAATAATAAGTGAAAACAATGTTTAGACAACATTTCCCCCCATCAATGTTGGCAAAGGTGGGAAAGGTCATGTACTGCGTCCGTGACTGTGCTGGGAAATAGACTTTTGTACACTGCTGGTGAATGAACCTTGGCGCAAATGTTCTGTGGGTACACTTGGTGATATGGATATAGTTGAACACAGCAATTTCATATCTAGGAATTTACCTTAACTAGGAATGAATGCAGATCATTATTTTAAAAATTATTTACAACTCTATCTATACTAATAAAAGGGCAATATGCTAATTAGATTGGATAGACAGGACGTCTTCCGGACGTCCTTCCAGACAAAGCCACAGTGGTGGGGGCCGAGGCAGAGGCAGTTAAGTGCGATCAGGCAGGTAGGCAGGCAGTGGAGAGCAGTTAAGGGCAATCAGGCCAGCAGGGGAGAGTGGTTAGGGGCGATCAAGCTGGCAGGGTAGCAGTTAGGGGCATCAGGCAGGCAGGCAGAGGGGTCAGGGGCGATCAGGCAGGCAGGCAGGCGGAGTGGTTAGGGGTGATCAGGCAGGAAGCAGGTGAGCGGTTAGGAGCCAGCGGTCCCAGATTAGAGAAGGTGCAGGCCAGGCTGAGGGACACCCCCCTCCCCATGCACAGATTTCATGCACCGGGCCTCTAGTATTTATATAATAGAGAAAAATTGGAAACCAAACTCAGCTTTCCAACTCTAAGAGCCAGGTTAGGTAGAAAATGTCATATATGTGAGAACATTCATGGTATGTCCTGCAGACATTAAAGTCTAAATATTAACAACTTGGGAAACTGTTCACAAAAAACTAAAAAGAGAAACCAGCTTACAAACAATATGTATAATGCTATCCAAATTTATTTATTTTTTTGCTAATCCTCACCTGAGGACATTTTTGCATTGATTTTCAGAGAGAGTGGAAAGTAGGGGGACAGGCAGAGAGAAACTTCAATGTGAGAGAGAAACATCATTTGGCTGCCTCTAGGATGTGCCCCAACTATGACCGGGGATCAAGCCTGCAACCGAGGAACATGCCCTTGACCAGAATCGAAACCGGGACCCTTCAGTTTGTGGGCCGATGATCTATCCACCGAGCAAACCAGCTAGGGCTGCTATCTAAATTTTCTTTTTCCTTTTTTTTTTTTTATCCTCACCTGAGGAAATGTTTTTATTGACTTGAGAGAGAGAGAGAGAGAGAGAGAGAGAGAGAGAGAGAGAGAGAGATATCAATGAGAGAGAGAAGAAACATCAGTTTTTTGCCTCGGCTACGTGCCCCGACCAGGGATGGGTATGTGTCCTGACTGGGAATCGAACTCACAACTTTTTGGTGTAAGGGACGATGCTCCAACTAACTGAGCCACACCGGCCAGAGCAAATTTTATTAACAAAATATATATGTACATATAATAGAGAAATGTGAATTCTGGTTATCTTTGAGATGTGATTATAAGTGTCTTATTTTCTTTTTTACTTCTCTGTATTTTCAAACATTCTCCATCAATATTCATTATGTAAAAAACTATATAAAAATTTATAAAAATTGAGAGGTAGTATAATAGAGGGATTATGTGTACAGTCCATTTCTGTCCAATCTTGGGAAAGTTGATTAACTTCTCTGTCCTTCAGTTTCCTCATCAGTAAAAATGGGAGAGTGTTTGTTGAGCAGTAAGAATTAAATGTGTTAATGTCTATCAGGTGCTTACAGTGCCTGTATCATCCTAACTGCCTAATAATTGTTAGCTTTTCTTCTTATGTTAATCTGCATTTAAGTTGATCTTTACATATTTTGTATTTTTGCATTTAAAACTGACATATTCTCTAAGTTAAACTCCACCCCTTCCCTGCACCATGGAAGCTGGCCACACTGAAAGCATCTTGTTCCATAGGTTCACACGGTCATTGCTCATCTGGTTTCCTGGAACTTTCCTCTCCTCTTCCTCTCAAGTCTCACCTACCTCCAGATCCATGTAAATGCAGTGTCTTTGTGGAGCTGGGTGTGATTTTTCCTGGTAGAAGTAATGTTGTTAAGTTTTTATTCTCAACCTCTTTCACCTGTACCTCTTTCATGACACAGAATTTTTATTTGGCATTATAATTAGTTATACATATTATTTAGCCTTGTTGGGTTGGAGGCCCATGAGGACCTAGCCTAGATTTAATTCCGTATGCACCGTACATAGCTCAATAAATATGTATTGCATAAATGAGTGACCAGAAGCTACAGAATGTGGTATTACCTTGAAGCATGCAGTCGTAGGCTTTCCTATCTCTCCTTCCTAACGCGTCCCAGAATCCCAGAGGCTCGGAGCCTTCCTCACACTCGTGTATTGTCACTTTGCTGCTACTATGCAGTCCTGCTTCCAGGGGGCATCTGTATGAAGACCAATCATTTTTATTAAGCTTTGGAAGTACTGACAGCACAAAATTATTCAAGATTAAATCTACAGGTGAGTTCACCATTCCTCTTCTACTTTCTAACTAAATCAATTCTTACAAATAAATAAAAACATGCTCTGTGGGGTAGGGATTGGCGTGGTCCTTAGAGAGGAATGTACAATTACATATAATTTGTAATGTATAGAATATACATTTCTATATGTAATATACATATTTCCTATTCCTGGTCTTCTCCTGCGGGAACATAAGCTTCATGGGGACAGAACTTGGATTTACTCACTGGCAAGTCCCTAGTCCCTAAACCTCTGCTTGGCACCAAGTAGGTGCTCAAGAACTGTTGAATGAATGAGGGAATGATTCTTTGTTCTTTTGTTGTTGTTTTTTCAGAGGTCCAAGTAAAGAATCTGATGGGCCATGAATGCCTTCAGATACCTAACAGAATGTCATTTATCATCCCTCCCCACTCGCTGGCCTTCAGGATGGTGTTTTGAGATGAAACATCTTGCTTCACAGCCAGCTGCCTGCTGAAGGTTCACTTGCCCTCCTTCTCCTCTCCTCCCTCTCCGTGTACTGCTGGGTTTTAGAGCAGTCACAGGGAAAGCAGGCCCACAAGTTTTGATGTCCAGAGAATGGATTTTATCAAACTGCACTTCAGTGGTATGTTTTGACCTTGGGAAATTCCTCATTTTTACTGTATAGATCAATGGTTCTCAACCTTCCTAATGCTGCGACCCTTTAATACAGTTCCTCATGTTGTGGTGACCCCCAACCATAAAATTATTTTTGTTGCTACTTAATAACTGTAATTTTGCTACTGTTATGAATCGTAATATAAATATCTGATATGCAGGATGTATTTTCATTGTTACAAATTGAACATAATTAAAGCATAGTGATTAATCACAAAAACAATATGTAATTATATATGTGTTTTCCGATGGTCTTAGGCGACCCCTGTGAAAGGGTCGTTCGATCCCCAAAGGGGTCGCGACCCACAGGTTGGCGACCCACAGGTTGAGAACCGCTGGTATAGATGTTACAAGGTGCTCCAAGTTCTCACCGAGGAAACGCTGGGCATCTCCTGAAGGACTGGGGGACACTGGATTTCTTTGTCAGATTGCTATGTCCATGCTGCATGAGCTTCTAGGAAGCGCAGAGCCCCAGCAGCAGCCTGCCTCTAGACAGGTGACAGGCTGGTATAGCCCCCTCCTGAGGTCCTCACTTAATGCTGTGGCACAGTGTGTTTTCTCTGTATAAGTAGTCAATGCCGGTACCTGCCTGGGAGAGGAATAAAGGCCTCCACCTGGTGGGCTGTGTCTGAGAACTGCCTCAGGGACCCAATAACTCACTGTTAGGAGGCTGCCTTCCAGAATGCAGAAATACAGTCTTTCTCTAAAGAAGAACATCTTACACCAAACTCTTCATTAGCTAAGTGCTTTTTAACATTCCACTGTTCTGACAAAATTAAAACCCTGAACTTCTAAAAGATATTTGAAATTTGCTCTGTTTAAGTAACATAGGACTTTAGGCTTATAATTCAACAGCTGAGTCATACCTATAAAGAAATGAAAGAGTTTGTTGAGGTCTTTTTCATCACCCCTCACTCTGCCTTTTATTGAGGCAGATAAAACCTCAAAAAGTGGGAGAAGCCCTCAGGTTGAAGGTTTTGGCCGAGATGCATCAGATCCACTTGGAATGTTAGACCCTGACAATGGTCATAACCACCTTTAGTGAAGTCACTGTAAACACACTGGGATGTCCACTAGGAATCCAGGGAACCCTCTGGCCTTAGGCTGCGAGTCCCATAGGTAACCCCTTCCAGAAGAGGCCCTCACACCCTCAACACTCACTGTTCTTTGATTTATTTGCTGCAGTCCTTCCGACCTCCTTCGTGTGGGCTTGGGCTTTGCATCCATGCCACAGGTAAATGAGGGCTTTAGTTACGTTGAGAACAACCATGGACGTCCTGGACCTCAAGCTACTACAGTGACAGGCCACTTCCAGCAAATTTCCTTCCATGGGCACTTCTCCTCGCACACAGTACAGCCTCCACTCACCTGTAGGGGGCATCAGCGGCACAGGGTTAGGAGGTATGCTGCACAGGAAGACTGGCCCCTCAGGGCCATCCTCAGCAGTCAACAGCAACGCAGTGGTCAGCAAACTGCGGCTCGCGAGCCACATGCAGCTCTTTGGCCCCTTGAGTGTGGCTCTTCCACAAAATACCGACTTCTGCGCATGGGCCACGAAGTTTCAATTGCACTGTACATGCGCGCCCACACGTGGTATTTTGTGGAAGAGACACTCAAGGGGCCAAAGAGCCGCATGTGGCTCGCGAGCCGCAGTTTGCCGACCACTGAGATTGAGGCCATGGGCCATCTCACTGCCAATCCAGAACACAATTCCTTTTGGAGCTAGGAATAGGTTGTCAAAAGTTTACGATGCAGAGATACCATTTTTACAAAATTTATAAATGCCTAGGTAAGTCGCAGAATAGGCATATATAAAAAACCTCTAAAGCTAAGGGTTTTTTTGTGGGGTTTTTTTTGGGTGCTGGCCAATAAAAATTTCATAACTTATAATAGACAATCCACTGATTTTTTTCTTTTTTAAAGAGTCACTGTGAGGATTTCGTTTAAGGTAATCTTGTAGCCTCCAGCATACATGGGGGTGGGAGGATGAGATCCCCCATAAAGCTGCTTTATGAGGCAGACATCAGGTGGCTTTCGGTGGGAAAGCCATGGCCATATGAAGGGAGACTTACTCTAAACCCCCACGCCTATAAAAACACCTTCCAGGAGAGGAAAAAAAATCTAATTCGAACAGTAAAAGTGACTCACTTTGCGCATTTTCTTCCTCCTCTTCCCGTCTTCCGGAGTGCACCACCATCCCCCCTTGGAAACACTGCAGGAAACAGGGGGGCTCCTTTCCCTGGAGGACCTGGACCTTCCAAGTTAAGCACATTAACATAAGTAACCTGCACTGGTTTTCCAAAGGCATAAAAATTATACACCCTATTGCAGAAAACGTGAAAAAAAATACAAGAAACAGGAACAAAAGCCAGTTACAATACTATTATCTAAAGATAACCACTATTAAAAATCTAGTGTATAACTTTACTTTCAAAGTATTTTTCAGGTATGTATTTTTTCCAAACAAAAATATGATTGTTGTTTCATGTTGCTTTCTACCCTGATTTTTTTCACTTAAAGTTTGTCTGTTATTGAATATTTTTTAAAACATGAATTTTGATATATACATGGTATTTTGTGGTATAGCTGTAACACGATTGATTTAAACACATTTTTAACAAAGTACACCGCTGAGCAATGAGGATGACTAATCACCAACTTAGTAATCCTGGGGGAAAGAACTGTCTCTTTTGTAACATTTGCGAGAGTCTGATCAGAGCCTTTTCCACCAGCCAAGGCCTCCCCTGGCCTGGTGACGCACTCTCTTCCATCAGGTGTTAGCTGCACCATAATAACGTCAGGGTTGACGCTTACTTTGGCAAGACATTTTCCCTTAAAGAGGAAAGTGTTTATTGAGGCTGGCAGTCGGGGAACATTGAAGGTAGGAAGCATTTCTCACCATGAGTTAATTTGTCAACCTCAGGGCCCATTTTGCACAATTAAATGCCATTTTGTGGCAGTGTTTTATATGCCTAAAGTGATTTTTCCATCTGTTGGATTGATAAAAAAATGAAATGCTTCAACCAGATAGATTAAAACTCAAAACTCTAAAGATGATTTTGAGGGCATTAATTCATGTCCTTTACAAAAAAAAAAAAAAAAAAGGCAGTTGAAATTACTCATTATTACGAATAGATGAAAATGCAACGGTCACTAACGACTACGGATAAAATATAGTCCACAGCAGAAGAGGATTGGATCTCAGGAATCTAGAAGGCTAAGTGAGTAGTGCTCTGTTTCTGGAGAAAATGCCTCTGTTATCCCTCCTCCTGCTATTGTTCACTGTTTACTCAAGATAGTAAAAATATCTGCGAGAGCCAGCTCTTAATTGCTGGTATTGAAGGAGGGAATCTGAGGCACAGGTAATCCAAACCCTAAAAAGAATGTTTACAAATCCTTGGTTTTCAGTAGTAGTAGAATCTGCTTGTTGTTAAGCTGGCTCTGGGCTATAATGGGGAGGAAGACCAGGACAGATATGGTCTCTTTCAAGCTTGTGGGGAAAGACAGACAATAAATAAGTCAACAAAACAACCCTGTAGTTGTACATAGTAGTAAGTGCTATGAGAAAAATAGCACATTGGAACGTAAACCTGAATCATACGAGCTAAGAGCATAAACCTGAATCATATGGCCTAAGAGTTACATACAGACCCAAGGGTAAGACTGCACAGGCCCAGGGTGGGTAGGAAGAGGTGTGAGGAGCAGCAAGAAGACTGGAGCAGTAGGGACTTGTGCAAAAACAGGGAAGGTTGGAGAGATGTGCAGGGCTGCCCACGAGGGTGCTGGGAGACCATGGGCAGGCTGCTGAGAATGTAGGCCGTGGGTTGGAGAGCCAGGGGTGATGCAATCTGGCCTGTTCTAGAAGGGCTGCCCGAGGGTGCTGGGAGACCATGGGCAGGCTGCTGAGAATGTAGGCCGTGGGTTGGAGAGCCAGGGGTGATGCAATCTGGCCTGTTCTAGAAAAACCACTCGAGCTAGTCTAAGAAATGCAGATGTTGGAAATATTAATTTTTACATTAATCTCTGATATCTCCTTAGGGTGCATTTGTGTAAGTGGAATTACTGATTAAAGCTTAAGAACATTTAAGGTTCTTTGAGCCAAAACTGTTTTTCAGGATGGCTGCTTCCAGTTACACTTCCAGCAGAAGCATGCAAGGTTCTCATCCCATGGAGCCCTTGCCAGCCCCGATCCAGACTTTAAAAAAATCTCTACCAAGTTTAGAAATGGAAAATAGCATCTTTTTATTTTATTATGTCCCTTTCCTTGATGATTAGTTAGGTGGAAACTTTAAAAAAACACTTATGAGCCTTTTGTCCTTGTTTTGTGGATTTGCTGCTATGTAAAACTACATGGCTGTTTCGTTGACTTATTTATTATCTGTCTGTCCCCACAAACTTGAAAGAGACCATATCTGTCCTGGTCTTCCTCACCATTATAGCCTAGAGCCAGCTTAATAACGGACAGTTACTACTACTGAAAACCAAGGCTTTGTAAACATCTGCTATTTGCAGGTACATTTTGTTGAAGACCATGTTACAACAGGTGGGCTTTCCTGGCCCAGTGGTGGGGGGAGAAAAATGAGGTGCAGCCTGAAGTCTGGAGCAGCCGGACCAGGACTCAAAGTGTGTTGGGTGAGTTGTCTTTGTTCATTGGAATCGGGCCCTTAGGGGACCAGGCGACACATGCTGGGCCAGCTCTCTCATTTCTGGTGCAGCACTCTCCAGGACGTACCTGGGCACCCCTTTCTTCATCCAGCTCCACTGTCATCAGAGCTGACGTGCCCTTCTCACTCACAGTCGACTGCCGGCCTTGCCAGAAGAAGTAGACGCACTTCTCTTTGCCAGCCACCCTTATGGAGTGCTCTCCCTTCTGTCGGTTCCCCACTGCAAACACAGAACAATAGAGGGCAGGGTGAGCAGCTGATAAGACAAAAGAAGGGCAAGTGCATGGCTCTCTTCTCAGGCTCTCTGAGGAAAAACAGGAGAGAAATAGCTTTTGGGCGCCAAAGCTGGGGAGAAATCATTCATCACTGGAGGGAAAGTAAATCATACTGCGGGACAAGAGAAAAACCACCTCTGCCAGCTAACTGACCCTGCAACTTCAGCCGGAGGGAAGTGATCTTGATGCCCTAAGACAACACCTGTCATCCTAGAGCAGTGGTTCTCAACCTTCTGGCCCTTTAAATACAGTTCCTCATGTTGTGACCCAACCATAAAATTTTCGTTGCTACTTCATAACTGTAATGTTGCTACTGTTATGAATC